GTGCCGTGCCAGGTGCAGGGTCTGCTGGCTGGGTGCTGTCAGGCTTGCACCTGGCACGGGCACCGTAGCCAGCCCGTGCCCCTTTAAGGGGTCCGGGGCCGGGAAGGGGGCATAGAGTTTCCCTGGTGTTGGCCAGAGTGGCCACCAGGGAAACCTGGGGAGGGCTAGCCTCCCACTAGTTCGAATTAAGGGGCTACACAGCCCTTAATTCGAACTAGCTAGTTCGAACTAGGCTTAATCCTCGTAAAATGAGGTTTACCTAGTTCGAACTAAGCGCTCCGCTAGTTCGATTCAAATTCGAACTAGCGGAGCGCTAGTGTAGCGCCTATTAAAGTTAGTTCGAACTAACGTCAGTTAGTTCGAACTAACTTTGTAGTGTAGACATACCCTTTGGGAATATAAGAAGAATACCTAGCTCTTATATAGTGATTTTCATCAACAGAACTCCAAATAAAAGGGGTTTTATGTAAGTAAGAGTCATCTTCTGGATTTAAACCCCAAGAATGCAATCAGACTGCTAATTCTATTTTTGCTCTAGCTATTAGGCTTGCTCTAGAACATTAAAGCTCAAATGTAAATTCCTCAGGGCTAGATTCTGATCGAGTGTAAAAATGCTGCTTTATTTGCCCTAGTATAAGTGGCAATAACTCAAACTTACATGCAGCTACTCCATATTTACACTGGTGTAACTGACAGCTAAATCTGTTTGTCTTCACAGAAACATAGAAGCTAGATATGAAAAGATCCAGTTCATCTCCCAGAGGGCCAAGGCAGAATTTTCTTGGTCTGTACATTGCCAAGCACTGAGTGGGAACAGAGTAAATAATAATAACCAACACTGGAGTTTAATGGGTTTTAAGAACACAAATGTCTAAAACATATTGTAGCACTATCTAGATAAACTGCTGCTTTATACTCACTGTACAGTTGCACTGATGTGGCAATGTTGAAAGATCCAGAAGCTGTCAATGATAGCATGACAGCAATATACAGATGTACTATTTATCTACATTTTCGTACCTGTGCAATCAGCCAATCCACTAGTTTACTGGCAGGGATTACTGATTTGTAGGTCTTCAAATGGTAGTCTCGGTCTCTTAGGTAAAAGAAAATAAGAAACATCGGTATAAAAATGTACTCATTTCAATAAGGCTGGATAAATAAGTAAAGTATTGCAACCTGTATTTTACTCAGGAAGAGGAATTACAGCTATAACGTCAACTAGACCATTCATTATTTTTTTAGTACTATAAATAAAACACAAGAAAACAAAGTAGAAGCTAGTCTGCTCTTCTCAGGCCCTGCTCTGGGCACCCCTGAAGGGGGCTGGGTGGCAGAAGATAGTACCAGCCCTGCCCTTTCCACCTGAGATCTTGCCCCTTCCAAGGGCACAGAGAACCCCCTTTTATTCCCCCTCCCCATCGAATCTTGCCCGAGGGCCTGGCAAGGCTGTCAGCTCCATTGCCTCTTCTAGAAGAAAGGACTGAGATTTAAACTGTGGAACATCTCACAGCCTGGATGAGAAACATATTCCAGATCCACATGGCCACATTCAGATCCACATTTTTCTAAAACTTGGAATTCAGATGTTGTTGATCCAGGAAGAAGAGGTCAAATACAATCTTTTTTAATTGTCAGCACTTAAGTCTTTTAATAAGGACCAAAACCTCTACATTCCTGCCCTCATCTAGAACAGCACCATTCTTGAGACAAAGAAAAGATGCATTTATAAATCACTGCTTCTTAGAGGCTTTGTTTGTTCCTGTTCCAAGATCATGGAAATAACTGAAGCTTTGGAGTCTTTTTGAAAATATATTTATGTCTCGAATCTGTGAAGCAATGGGGATTAGGTGGCTCAGGACTTTGGCCTATAAAGCCTTTTACTTTTTACCACTGGATTGAATACATCCCATGGCATTAGTGAACGAAAGTTGTTTTCATTTTATGGTGATTCACCAGCCTGGATGAAATGAGTTTGGTGATCTTGATCCGATTCCTAGTCCTACACTGCAAAAGCCATTTCTGAAATTAATTGGCTCGCTCTTGTTGGCAGTTTCAGCAGAGAAGCCAGCTGCTGAATGGGCCATGGAGGATAAATTTCCCTCTCTACATAGACATGGTCTTTCCAATTCATGCTTGAGGTGCATTGGCATAGCTATGTGGGGAAACCTTCACAGTCAAGATGTACCTGTTCTATAGTTTAGTCTCTGGTGCTATTGACTCAGGCTGTTTCATTAGCACCAAATTATACAAACGTGGGGTTTTCTTTAAGACAAAGAGGAAAAACCTAAAATTAAAGTTCACCCTACTGGCATTTTGCCTTTATAGGTCACCTACAGAGGGACTGTGCTATATCTGGCTGTTTTAAAGAACTCCAGCAGAAATGCCTGCATGTTTGCCTAACCCAGGGAGTGAGAAATTAGAAGGGGAAGTAGCACTTCCAGAACTTGAAAAAACAGTCTGACAAAATTCCCAGAAATGTATGTCCTCAGAACACAACTTTCCCCGTAGTGCTTACACACATTTTTTTAAACCTGGCTTCCAGTAATGCACTCACTCCAGCACTAAGCTGTGGGAGTTCTGAGGAGCACTTCCCCCACTCACACATTTATCACGAGCAAATGTGCTCTGGAAATTTTAGAATAATAAAGCAGAGCACGAAAATATTGAGCTGTCATGAATAGGGTTTTCCAGGTTGGGAGAGGTGGCTCCTTGCATTTTAATGTTGAACGGCAGCATACGGGGAGGGCCTAGACACTGGAATGAAAGGGCTAACATTTCATTGGGCTCTGGATGCTTGGTCCAAGGCCCAGCTGCTCGCTGCTGCCCATTAAATGCTTGTCAGGAAGGATGTCTGGACATTAACTCACTGACCCAGAAGCTGCAGGTGATGCCACTACATGAGTGGCCACAATATGGAAAAATATCAGCCTGAATCTTAGCTAGTCACACTGCCTCAGACAAATTAAGGTAGCATGATGCCTGCTGCTCCCACAACATAGGGAGGTGTTGTCCACTACTCACACATTAGTGCCGGAGGAATAAACAAAGGTTCCTGATATGTGCTTCCTGTCATTAGCTGATCAATCACCCATGGGTGGTCTTCCACAAATCTAACAATTTTCTGTTTAGATGCCCTGGTCATACACTTCGCTGTTGAGGCAACACTCTGCAAATTAAGACATGCTCTATTGCCAGTGGGGCACCATCTTATTTTGCCCCAAGACTTCATTGAAATATCAGTGGGAGGGAACAAATAACAAAGGCAGATGCTGTGTTGAGGCCACTGTGCTTTCAGTAAAAGGAAATGGCTTCACATGATGATGGAATGAATAGCCACAGAGTAATAAAATCAGAGACTTCCTGTTGCCCCAATACGTCTTGGCATTTACACCCAGATATTCCAATTTCTGCAGGTCTCCCAGCTTGTTGGAGTGCAAGGCATACTCTGAAAAGGGGCCTTCATCCACCAGGAACTTATGGCAACAGGAACTGTAGGATCAGAAGATGCCAGACAGAGCAGAGATCGAATGGCAGAATAGCTGTGTAGTGGGACAATGGCGCCAGGCTACCATCCAATGGGACAAGTTGAAACTTGTCATAGAGCAGGAAGATCAGAGATTCAGGAGTGGAAGATATCAGTCCTCGCTGGGGTGATCGAGTTTGTTTGATGGACGGTGGGCATCAAAGAAGAGTCTGAGAGTGGTGAAGTTGTAAGTCCATTCATGAGGAGCCCGATGTTTTCAGTGGCTGTAATTTTTCCCAATACCAGGATTCTTCTTGAAATAAAAGAATGGCTAAAAAAATCTGATAGAAAAAATGGTGCATGGTTCAAATGCCACAAAATGGAGATGGCTATTACTTTCTCCAGCACAATTCATCTGATGCTGGAGGCACTCTGAAGTCAGAAGCAGTTTTTCTCAGTTCAAGTTACAACTAGCATTATTTTTCTTTACATATCAATTACTTTCTTAGTGGCTGAGGTGCACACACAAACACACATATTGCCACTTTGCCTACTCAGAGCCACATGTTGTCAGTTAGACAGAATTATGATTGAAGAATGGACACGCTTCATCAGATAGACCCCTGTCATACCAAAAGTATCTTTTGTCTTGGGACATCTCCTGAGCGCACTCGGGACAGGGAGGTCCATGTCTCCATGTTTATTTTTCCTAGGGGTTATTTTTTGTCATCAAAATTGTGTGTACCTTAAAATAGAAAGTTCCTGTGAGCGAAAATGTCTCATCTCAACCATGGGCAGTTGGACAGGATAGCTGAATGGTTCATGTGGAACCTCAAATAGGCTCATGGCATAGACTTTAGGAACTGCAGATCTGGACATTCCAATAGGGCATTAACATTTGAAAAGCCCATATCTTGGAAATGAGTTAACTAGTAAACTTAGATTAGTTCTATGCCGTGGGCTGGTATTTGGGTCAAATCCCAATGCCCCGATCCAGGCTATCATTCTGCAGAAGTCAAGAAGAGTTTTGCCAAGTGAGGATTTATCCCTCAATGTGAGGTTTGGTTTTTTTTATGAGCCCTTTGCTTCATCCTCTGGGTGAATTTACCAAATGGAAACAACAAAAAGACTATTGCCTGCAACAAGCACCAGCAACAGATGCTCTACCATGTCTCTCCTCATTCAGGCTTCACTTATCAATACACCCACTCTAACCCCAGTCAGAGGAATCTATCTAGGATAAATAAATAGTCTAAGGCTGTGTCTACACTGGCAAGTTATTCCGGAAAATCAGCCGCTTTTCAGGAAAAACTTGCCAGCTGTCTACACTGGCCACTTGAATTTCCGGAAAAGCACTGACGATATCATGTAAAATCATCAGTGCTTTTCCGGAAAAACTATGCTGCTCCTGTTCGGGCAAAAGTCTTTTTCCGGAAAACTGTTCTGGAAAAGGGCCAGTGTAGACAGCACAGTAGTGTTTTCCTCAAAAAAAGCCCCAATCGCGAAAATGACGATCGGGGCTTTTTTGCGGAAAAGCGCATCTAGATTGGCCACGGACGCTTTTCCGGAAAAAGCGCTTTTCCGGAAAAGTGTCCTGCCAATCTAGACACGCTTTTCCGAAAATTCTTTTAACGGAAAACTTTTCCGTTAAAAGCATTTCCGGAAAATCATGCCAGTGTAGATTTAGCCAGTAGGTCACCAACCTAAGTTCAGTTCTACACTTCTTCAGCAGAAGCACCTCTGCTAATCCCAGCTGGAGATGGGATTGTAGCAAAGGAGCCTGATAAACTGAGCAAATTCTTTCATTGCAGGTTATAGGAAGGAAGAGCGAAGATTCCAAATGGCAGCACAACAGGCAAGCAGAACTTACTTTATTACAGGCGTGTAAAGACTGTGCAGTCGACAATAGAGCCTCACACCCTAAGGAAAAAACAAATGTGGCTTTATAATTATGTACCAGATCCATAGTTTTTCATAACTATACTGAATAGCTATAGCAGCTCTGGAACTACAGTAGCATGGCCATGGACAACACCAGCTCATCAGGAATTAGACAGATCAAATGTTTGTAGAAACTCTTCTTCTTCTCCTCCTCTCTTTCCACTTCCAGCAATCTCTCTCCCATCCCTGGTACTGAGGTTTTGCTTCTAACATCCTCCTTTCCAGCATTCACCCCCATTTCAACCCATGCAAACCGCAGCTGCTAAGCTCGCTCTGACTGAATCACATCCTTAGTTTGAGACCCCTTCCACTGACCCCACCAGTCTCATTTTACCAAGCATGAGCTTCTTGTCTTTACCTTCAAATACCTTGTCAGCTCTCCCCCAGCGTTTCCACACTTGTTTCTTAGGCTATGTCTACATTGTGGAGCTATTTTGGGATACCGGAAGTATTCCTAAATAGCTATTCCACGTTATGCCATAACGGGCTTGCTAGTCCAACGTCCCAATAAATCTCGTTCCACGAGGAGTAAGGGATGTTTCGGAATAGCGCTCTATTTAGAAATTTGGCGCTGTGTAAACAGTGCCAAATTTCAAAATAAACTTTTTCAACAGTAACTTGAAATAAGCTACGCAATTTGCATTGCTCAAATTGCATAGCTTATTTTGAGTTCCGGGTGCAGTGTAGATGCACCCTTACTGTGTTACCCCACCTCCTTTGCTCTGCCAACAGTGGCAGCCTTGTGTATCAGCTTGTCTGCTTCTTACATAAGCATCTTAGCCTCTTCTATCCTGCTTCTTAACCCTTCTTCTCCCGATCTTTTCACAAGAACCACTTCTGAAGTGATGGCCATAAGAAATTAATCAATTAATAATGAATTCAGGGGTAGATGGGGATCACTGGAACTCATCATAGACATATGTAAGTATCAAAGAAAAAACCTAAACATCTACACACCATTGCTATATCTCCTCTCTCTTAAACTGGAAGGTGGCCTCAGCTGGTATCAATTAGCCTATTGTGTTTTCACAGAATTCAAGCCTTCGTTCGGACTGGGGGCATTAGATGCCACCATAATTTATGTAACTAATAACAGTAATTTATCACTAGGCCTTGCTTTCTCTCCTAATCAACAGAATCCTCCAAAATGGCATAAAAAGTGGGCAAGATGGGGAATGAGAAAGAGACTGTCTCCTACACTAGCATGGCAGCAGATTGATACAACAGATAGATTTTACTAGCTTTGGATAGTATGCTGTAGTGCTTGTTATGACCATGCAGATGCAAAATAGACATTTTTAGTAACTATTATTCAGAGTTATCAGGCTCTAGCCTGGGAGATCGAGTACCTTGGACATGATATCTTCCAATTCGCTTCTCGGTTTATAAGTTCCGTCATCATACCGAAACCTGTACATCACCTGCTCATTCTTAAAGTGGTGCTTATCTGAAACTGAACCACAAGAGCAGCAATTACTAATCAGTCCAGGCCTCTTCCCTGGCCACACATTATGACAGCACAGTATTTCTGCATACAAAGAACCTACAATTTTCTGCAGTACCTCTAATGACAAAGGCTTCACAATATCAGGTTTGTACACGTACACACACACACACACACACACGTACACACACACACACACACACACACACACACACACACACACACACAG